ATAACGTAGTCGGTACCTGAAGCTGTGCCATGTGCATTCGTGCAAAAGAAGTTTACATTTATCACCGGGGAAACGAACGCGAAGACACCATTAATCAGCCTATACCTGTATGTATAGCACGGAGGGAAATACCATGCTTGTGGATAAGACGGGGGAGAGTGAAGTTAACGTCGGGGGGGATGAAGAAAGACGTGTTTAGTCGTGACGCGACAGAAACGTCACCTACAACTTGTGGGGCCCGGTTGACTTTCAAGTACACGCGGCTCAGATTGATTAATTCAGTCTCAACGATCGCGCAGTTGTCGTTAGCATTCAATGACCTTCTTTCGGTGGGTTGAATACCGTTATCGTTCGAGGTTTTTTCACCGCCGGGAGTTGTTTTTTTTTCTGACACCAACCTCCCCCCGGGCGGGAACCGAGAAAGGGGGGAGAAATACGATCTGCTCCTGGGGGGGAACTCCAATTTAACGCCTCCTGCCCGAATAGGTGATGGGGGCGGGGGGGGCCGCTCTTGAAAGAAGGGAACTCCGACGACTACGTTTTCCGGCTCTATTGGTGTGTGCTCACCACAATACGCACAGTCACCGCACGTTGATTCACCCTTATCCATCTTTCAACGTGACCAGTAACATACCAAACGTTTCCAAGTTACCCTATCCCTTCAGCAGGCGTTTTCAATATTTTGCTTGTTTCATACCACTATCGTAGAGTTTGCGGGGGGGTTCAGCACTTCTTGCGAAAACATAAATATCGTTTTCTGATTGATGATACCCCTTTTTCGTTATCCTTCATACCCAGTAGAGGAGAACATCCTATTGCAGGCGGTGGTATGGCACCCATACGACCACTCCGTCGCCCCTAGGCCCTCGTCACCTATGGTTGCCATATGTGGTCGGAGTAATGCTACGGTAGGGGGGTCACATTATGGGGCATGTGTGACCGACACCACAGGACTGCGCCATATTTGACCAGCCAGAGATTACACCAGTTCTGTAGGCACACTTACTTGTGTTCCCGTGTCAGTCACTGATTGATTGTAATAACAATAAGTATTGGAGAGCGTCACACAACACGGGCCCAATAGCTAATTGACTACAAAAAGCCGGTCACGAGGGGTATCCCCCCTACTGTAACATAGCTCGTCCATCCTCTCTCAGCAGAATACCGAGATAGTGCACGTCACAGAGTAGGGCGCCTTCTTTATTTTGATGCCCGTGAGTGGGTTTCCTAACGCCAGGTATCAAGCAGTCCGTGGTCATGGGGTGTGGCCTGGCTCATGGATCGAGGGCTTGAGCTGGAATGAAAAATATGTTGAATGCACGTGGCACCGTGCTTAACCATGTCGTTTCTGTTAGCGTCACAAGCCATACTGCCTGGCTTTAGTGTTGGAGTGTAGGACAGGGCACGATGGCGCTGGGCTTCGTACAGTATTGAGCACGACCCTCTTCTCTTCACCTTGTTTCAGTAGCCTTGAGTACGGAATGCAGGTCTTCCACTATTACTTGGGCTTGTGGTGGGGTGATGGCGACGAACGGCACATGTTGCTAGACATGGCCCTCAAAAGGCTGAGCTGTTCGCGTGTAAGGTTCCTTGGCTACCTGTCATCGACCCAAGGCAAACACGTCGCTACCACGTACCCTGCCGTGGAAAGATCCCACGTCAAGGCCCCCAAACATTCCCTAACCTTAACCCTATTTCTACCATATGAACATCATGTTTACGTCCCGGCGTCTGTCCCGCCCAATGGGTGGGCGGCCATTTTTTTCCACCAGGTGGCCGTCACGCCTAGAGGACAGATCACTGATGGCCAATCGTTTCTTCCTACCATGCCAAAGGTGGTTCAAAGAATGTTTTCCTATCCTATCTCTCGTACCGATAGAAATTCCAGGCGTTCCAGCCCACTTACTTTTCAGCCCATACAGCGGTCGTCTTCTCCTGGGAGGTGAAGGGGATACTCAAAATCGTGCATGCCATAGTCATTAGACGATGGACCTCGCATCCCTACAAGGCCGGGACGGAGCACACGGGGTCCGCACAGGACAGGCTCGCCATCACCAAGCGCGAAGCGCCGTGAGGTACACGGAGAGTCGCTTGAAAGGTGCGCTGCATCCTGGTATGGGTGTCTTGTGCGTATTTCCTGGCATACGGATGACAGGTGCGAATGGTATCATTTGTTTTACTGGTGCCTTCTCATACAAGGACAGATGAAAGCACTGTGCAACTGCCTCGACGGTGCTTGGCCAATTCACCACAACATGGTGTGGTCATGCACGGAGTGAGGGCTCTCGACCACACTCAACACGATCATCGACCACCGTCATGGTTGCCGCAAAACAAAATGAGGAAGAACAAAAAAACAGTGGCACACTGGTTGTGGACCGCACGAAGCGATCGGCGAGCTTTACAATGTCGTTACCAAGCGAAGAGAGGACGTCAGCCGGGCGGCGGACAAAGGTACTGCGAGACTTTGGGGAATGACATCGCGGAGGAGACATGCCTCGCTTAGCGTCCGCTCGTGCAAAGCGTCCGTTGACTCAATCACACAGCTTCAGGGGCTTACCCTGCGGCATATGTGGGGGTAAGCGGGAAAACCCTAAAACACAGGGGTTCAATGTACCCGCATTGACGCCGCAGATGTGTGGAAAGCATGAAGTTGCCCAACACGTCTTAGACAACTTGTGAGTGTTACGTTGGGCAGTATTACTGTGTACGCTCATGATCACAGGGTCATGTGCGCGTGTGTGGCCTGTCAAAACACCAAACACCTTTTCAGGACGACACTGGTGGGCATAGCACACCACCAATGGTTGTCGACATTGAGGGGCCCGTGATACAATACTACAGTATGAGCAGCTCTCCGGTAGAGGATGCAAGTGGGTGACCTCTTTTGCGGCCGTCCTCTCGACTTGTTACTCCTCGTGCACAATCGCCAATCGCTTACGTCCGGTAATAATTGGGAGGAGTGGACGGAGAAAACCCAATTGCATGGCAACTAGACTAGTCTACCCCACTGGGCCTCCGTGAGGGTTTTAGATGTATCTAGAATGTAGACTAGTTTATACATGTGTGTTTTCGACATACGTTTCAATTGTTTCTTTCTTTTTGGAGGGTCTGCGGGGGGGGGGCTGGCATTTTTGGGTCATGAAATCACAATAAGAATATCCCGCACACCTAGCCCCCCCACCCCCCCCCCCCCCCCCCCCCCCCCCCCCCCCCCGGAGGGTCCCCCGGTATTTGCCAGCGGGATTGGGTTTTCGTCGCTTGGCAGAGATGGTCTAAAACAAGCCGATCACTTTGTGATCTCAGCAACTAGGTTACCACTTGTTTTTGCAATTGTTTTTTATTTTTGCGGTAACCACGAATGGATGGTGTTCGAGCAGATTATGTTGTGCGGGGTCGAGAACCCTCACGCCGCACAAACAGGATGATCGCACCGCGTTGTGTAGAATTGGTCGAGCACCCTCGAGGCAGTTATACAGTGCTGATAACTGTCTCTGGAAGTCAAAGTACCAGAAAACAAATTAAGTCATGCGCAGCTGTATCCGTACGCAAGGAAGTAGGTACAAGATGCCGAACACCGTTAGCAGGATGCAGCGCACCCTTCATGCGACTCGTCGAATACCTCACGGCGCTTCGCGCTTGGTGATTGTTTTTTTTTCTCCCATCATCGGATTCTGTCGTCTGCCCCTCTGGCCCCTATCCTCCACTTCTACTAGCTAGACGACCCAACTGGGGTCACATAGGAGGGGTGGACTGGACCCCCTCCTGCGGTTCCTGCCTGAGGTACTTTATCGCGAGAAGGGTACAGCAATCCCTTCCCTCGCCACTTACGAAGTCGATTATGGTTTACTAACAACGAGCTTTGCAGCGCGTCGCTTTCATCCTAGACCATAATGTATTTAGTGAGAAAAAAACGCACTCTGCCGGGACTCGAACCCATGACGTGGCCCTTAGCAGGCTGCGAGGTTACCCACTGGACCACCGGGGCGACCGGTGTGTGATGTGAGAGCCTGGTCCGGTGAGAACCTGGCGTGCTCCGTCCCGGCATGCGAGGTCCATGGTCCACCGACCACGGCATGCACGACAAAAGTACCTCCCCCCCCCCTCCCCGGAGGGCCGCGAAGATTTTTTTTTGTTTCGCGATTCATTTGTAGTTGGTTTTTGAAGTCTTGAAGAATACAGTAGTACTTGGGACAACCCCCCAAGCTGCAAACCTCAGAACGTCTCAACGCTTCTGGGACAAGCCCACCCACCACGACCATTTGACCTTGGGCAAATATGACGAAATAACACCAACAAACGACACACCAGAACCAAATAACACATAAAAGCCATGCATGGCACGTCATTAATCCAAGCTTCCTCAAGCCGGGAAAACACCGGAGAGGGTCTGGCGAGGAGCCTACGGTGGTGGCTTCACCTTCGCCTTGTGCAACACCCGCAACAATTGCAATTTGCCGTGCGTTGTATAGTCAAAATCTTCTGGGCCGCCTTCCAGTGGCTGTTCTTTGGCTCGTGAGAGTGCCTTGCCACCGCCCGCACAGCATTTGAGATGTCGGGCCTCGTCTGGTTGGCGACCCACATCAGACTCCCCACCACCTGTCCGAACGGCACATCCCCTGCCGCCTCAACCTCCATCACGGACCAGCAATCACAAGCCGGGGAAGCGGGGATCGAGCTGGTACGAAGTATTGAATCTCTCGAGAGCACTCCTGATGTAGTCTAACTCTCTCGAGAAATCGCAATCGTGCCAGCATCGCGGTCGCGAATAAATGCGCAACCAAGCAAGAACTTGACCTTGCCCAAATTCTTCGTCGGAAAAGAGTCTCCTAGCGCTTTCACCACTATCTTGGGAAGCCTCTCAATCCCTGTATAGAATGTCATCCACATGAATCGCGATCATACCCATCACCTCGTTTGCCATCATGAAACCCAGAACACAGCAACGTGGGAGGTGAGCTACCATGACTATCCCGACAGCTGGACCTGGCTCTGCCCAATTATATGTCGCCAACCAACTGCTCATACCCAGCCCGGGTAGCTTGGGCGAAGGCTGGACTCTTGCGCATAGGGTCCACAAAGTTCACGTCCGCTCCTGCTGTGACCAAACGTCTGGCAACATCCTCGTGACCGAACCTGACCGGCGTGCACAGAGCCGACGTCTTCGACGACCAAGACACCACCTGCACGTCCGGCTCAGCTCCCGCTTCAAGAAAACCAGATACAACATCCACGTTCCCACCCACAGCGGCCGCATCAATCAAAGAACGGTCGCGGCAGCCCCTCCATCCAGCACTCCCGTAAGCCCCGGCCTCGAGCAGCTTGTAGAAGAGGTCACGGTTGCCTAGGGCGGCAGCACGCTCCAGCGGCACCTGAAGCCACTCCTTCCACTGCTCTGGTGTAGCGCTGTAGGAGACCAGTTTGAATATCTCGATCTCCAACCCTTCCAGTAAGACACGTTTGGGGTAGATGTGCGTTTTTGTGTCGGTGTGGTCGCTACAGCAGTAGGTGTACAAGGGGCTGAACGGGAGCCTGGGACGTTCATGGAGTCAACAGCCCCGTGAAAATGCAAAGAGGCGTTGTCTGTCGAAACATGGAATGGCGAAAGGAAGGTGTGGAGGTCGGAGTTCAGGGAGAGAGGAGAGAGCATGTGCCACACATATCAAACGGGCTGAGCCTCTCGTTGGAACTGTAGTGTGCGACCCTTCCTGTCCACGGGCCTAGTACCAACCGTCCAACATCCGTTCGCGGAAGGATGTGTGGCCCCAGATGTGTAGTCTGTTTTTTATTCCATTTTAGGTGTTCGATCGGTACATCTCCCGGAGCAGGCGGGAACTGTGCAGGCGTCCGACGGTAGTGATTGTCAACCTGATGGACTATAAACTGTAAACCTGGTGCACCTGCTTTGGTTGAGGGAGGTCTTGGCAGGGTTCTTGGGGAACTGTAGGAAAGTCGTGTGGCTTGCCGCAGCAGGAAGGTTCTCCACACCCCGAACGCCCATGACTGAAAGACTAGACTAATAATGAGGGCCTCGCCGACATCACATTTCGTGAAGGTAATGGATGTGACACCAGGGCAAGGTATAAAATGGAGGTCACGCCAAGCGGGCCGTGGTGCTTCAGGTATGGGACTATCGCTGATCTCGGTTTTACCCCGGGAGACCTCGACCTCGCTATGTGTACCGCGTATTTCGAAATTTTATCAGGGTCCAATGAGGCACCGCCGTGAGAAATCCATCCATCGGTGTCGTAGGGAGAACCGCAGCAGCAGGTCAATGGCAAGCACAAGCTATTCGATAAGGTCAAATGGTCTCATTTTCTCGAATGCAAGCAACGGTCCGGCTGCGTGATTTCTTGGTGTGTTTTGTGGATCTAGCTCTAGGTGCCATATCTGTGGTTCGAGAAACTTTGTCAACATTTGTAGTACCCTCATGTATTCTACTGGCACCACTCTGATTGCTCCCGCGTAGTCACTGAGTTTTGCTCTCGCCGCCGAGTCTCCCATCGTTGTGTGTACAGGCGGGGGGCACCTCCCCTCCTCCCCACGAGACAGGCAGAAAATCTTGCTATGATTCTTGCTGCTCCAACGGCGTCAGCCGTGCAGTGCGGAATGAATGATTCGACCGTACAGAAAATGAAGAAGGACCGTCCGAAAGATCAGTACAACATCGATGGCGAAAAACGCAGGCGTTGCTGAGCGTACGTGGTTGCGATCTTTGCCGGTCGCACATGCATCATTACCCCTAACTTACTTTCTGGTTTGCACATGCGCTTAAATATAGTGGTTCACAGCTACGTTTTCTAGTGCCAAATCATCGTCGTCACTACCTGCACTTGTGCACTTAGTCACAAAACATCATCGGCGGCTTAGGCTAAAGAGTCAAAGTTCAGGCTTTCGGGTAGGAACTTTTTCATGCCCGTTGCCAGCCGGCAGAAACATCCATATTCCACATTCCAAGGAAAAACAATGAGGATGGACTCATCCTCTTGTTCCGGTAAACTACCCCGCTTCGTTGCCACTATGATCTCCGGGATCCTCATAGGTAGACTATCCCTCTTACCGTTCACACTACATCTTCGAGTAGGGTTATGATTCAGAATTATTGAACGATGAGTGAGTGCTGTTTCTAGCTCGCGCAAAGCAGGATATTTGTAGAGTGCAGCGGTGGGACGCAGCGTGGCCTATGGTATGAATCTTGGTGTTGAGCGTTTCAGCAATGTTCTGGGCTTGCATGTGTCTGTCTTTTTGTAGCTGTTACCCTTGCTTTAGACCAAGATTTACTGCGAAAATGATCAAATGGAAAAACATATGGTATTGCAACTCACGGCCTGCCTTGCACCTGAATGTGTTCAAATTTGTGTTCTGGGATAACTGTATGTAGATGACTCGAAAACGTCCAAGCCAATTCGTTGTGAATATCTCGAGTCGTTTTCCTATGACACGTTATGTCCAAGCGCTCGAACCACAACCGCATCGCCGTCGTCTCACGCTCGTGTACATTGAATTGTTGTGTGACGTAGAAGTTGCGTGATGCATAAGGTGATGTGGTAATAAGTATGCGCCTACCCATTGATGAAATATTGGAGTAGTCTGTCAGTATACATATATATCTACAAACACTGCTGTTCTCCTCAGTTTGTTTTTTGCTTCTCGCATGTTTGACCCCCTGCCGCGGTGCTCTCGTAGCCCTTTTGGGTCCTTCAGGCCTCCTGACAGATCATTGATTGATCATTTGCAAATGCTGGCGTTGTGGCATGCCATGGAATTGCCGCTCTGTATCTCTCCACGCCAGGTGTTGGCAAGTCCATTCGTAGTTGTGTCTTAATGATTCGCATCGACCGCGCTACACAGTGACCAATGCAAACACGTTAGTGTCAGCGTGTACCATCAAGGTCCCTGGAACGGCTCAAAAATCCGAAAAATGCACAATGTGCTCAATGCGAATGCCACCATGAGTCTCTCCCCATATCCTTTCACAGAGACACACATCAATACCTCCACGTACATGCCCTCCCTTTACCTAGAAAGCCACGAACACAACGACAGGAGGGCATCAAAATGGGGCATTTCAAGCCTAACCAGGCCAGGATATCGTAGTATGCTGCATAGATAGACTATTCTCCAAATTTGAACATCGTACACTCCCAAGATCCAGCAGTCATCGTGTCATCACCTATACTACACAGCGGCAGCAGTATGGGCGACTCCAACATACAGTACATGTGTAACACATACACTATCATTATAGCCCCAAACATACCCTCGCCCGAACCTAGAGAGCCGCTGATGCAAAGGCAGGTGTGTGCTGGTGTGCCTGGGTGCTTGTGGGAAATGTGGGAATATCACAGGAGCTGTAGTGAGCCGGCAGGGCTCACATTGGGGAGGGACAGAGAAGTACAGAAGTACAAAACCAGCTATGGGTCTACAAGCCCTCTCACTGATCATTTTCACTGATAATCTGAAAATAATACTGAAAATAAATAGAGTAGTTTCGGCAGGTTGACGACTGATCTTTTCGAGCTCTACAAGCCTAACCTGCCCTATCGGCCGCACTGCGACCACGCATCAACGCTTCTATGACCCTGTCCTGTCGCGGGCTGCCCTCATGGCCTATGGGTGGAACTAGCTGTGGCGTCTACAGAAGTACACTGCCTATTTATGCTGCACTTATGTCTCTCTCTCTCCCGCACTCTCTCCTCCCTTTGGTGTTTTTCCCGAAAAAACATCAAAGAGCTGGACCCAAAGGGGCTTAACCCACGCCGGCGGAGTTGGATGTCTTGTAGTTGGGGCCGTACAAAAGTGAACAAACTGCAGAGGCCTACACACTGTAGGATCTTTGATTCTGTTTGTAGGCCCGCATTGATTTTGTTAGAACAATACAATTTACGTTTGTTTCCTCGGAATTCACACCGCGTAAACATCCAACGCCACGCAGTTGCATTGAATACCCCCCGCTCCGCGACATACACATGCCCAAGCAAGGACTGTCAGTGGTCTTGAGCTCTGCCAAGTCTCATACCGCGTCCCCTGTTTCCCCGCCCAGTCGGTCTCGCCCCGGCACATTGTACAGATATGTTTTGTTTGACTGTCTGAGAGACCCAACGGTAGTTACGAAGAAACGTGGCAATCCTGCGTCTCCGGTGTCGCTGTTTTTTTAGGCTACTCTCGAAAATGTGCTTGCGGCTTCTTGCTGGTACAGTATGCTCAAAACGAGATACGCGCACGTGGTGTGCGCGTGCTACAAGAACCACTTAACTATACTTGTCTACCACCCTACAGTAGGAATTATCTCTTGGCGGCTGGGTCGGGGCCTTGAAGGCAAAACATAGAGAATCCTCGCAAAGGAAAATACTCCTGGGAACTGCGTCTTGACTAACTGCGTATTGAGCCCCGGCGCTAAGATAAAGGCACACAACCCTACAACCACTCTAGATTGTGTTGAGTTTAGATTTTGAAACCTCCACCACAAAGAAAGGCATAGCAATCCGATTTCCAACAGCATGTGCGTCGGATGGAAAACCTCTCACCAGAACCCCCCGTAACGCTCCAAGAGGCCGCCAACACGAAACAGGTTGCTCGGGTTCTCTTGTGGTCGAGGTTTGTCGGGAATAGGCTTAAACTAACAGGGAGCCTCGTCTCGTCGCCTGTAGCGCCAAAATGCCGGCGCCGTGGCCTCCAGCAGTATACCGTCAGCTTAATCTGGTTGCTCGGGCGCCGGGGGAGCAGTCGGGGTTTGGAGTCTTGGAGGGGACAAAAGCCCGTTGGCGTAGCCGTAGTTGCCCTCCGTCGCTGAGACGTTGGGGCGAGGGCGGCCGTAGTGGCGGTAGCCGCCTACACCATTCGCACCCCCATCGCCGCTGCCGCCACCGTATCTAGTATGTTGGAGCCCGTCGTTATAGTCGCTCGCTGTGGCATTGTTTGTGCTGCTGCCCCAGTTTCCGTTCACACCGCCGACGCCACCAACGCCGCCGCGGCGGTCCCTCCAACCGCCACCAATTCCGCCGCTTTCATGCGTACTGACACCTCCGTACCCAGCGTCACGAACACCTCCACCACCACCGTCGCCACTTCTTGCCCAGGAGCCGCCCACGCCGATTTGCCCGGCAACACCACCATCACCACCACCACCACCTCTACCACTACCGCCGGCATTGCCGTTCGCCCGGCCAAATCCATCCTGGTCCGACTCCGCGGCAGTGTCCCAGTTGCCGTCGTACTCGCCGAACCCGCAGCACATCTTGCGAATGCAAGCCTTCAGGAGGAAGCAAACCAACACCGCCGCTATCAGCGCGGCCAAGGCGACGCCGACGAGGAGCGTGGTGCCGGCGCTCCCGCCGGTTTCGATCCACCAGGACGGCGGCCAATCGGAGTCATTGTCGTCGTTGGTGGAGCTGCGCTGCTGGGAAGGCGAAGGAGTTTTCGGTGGCGGTTCTTCTGGCGAGAGAGGTGTCGACGAAACGCGCGTAGGAGGGGTCAGTGACGACGGAGTTGCGCCACTCCGCAACAGGGCCGGCCACCTCTAGCACACATTTATGTAAGTAGATAGGGTTGAGCGTAAGACCGAGCTGCCTTGTGGCATGGTGGATATGCTGTACATCTAACAAGAGTACAACCGGGGTCTTTCGATTCGTTAGAGTTGTTGCTGACTAGCGCTGACTAGCACTGAGGTGTAGCGTAGTGGACATGCTGTACATATATCAAGAAGACATCCGGGGTCCTTCTATTCGTTACAGTTGCTGCTGAGTTGCGCTGACTAACGCTGACGTGTAGCATGGCGGGTATACCGCACATCTATCACCCACAACCCACCTCCTCCGTCGCCGATGTCCTCGCTCTCGTCGTCCCCGCCTTCGCCAAACCCCTCCTCCCCCGAGCCGAACCCTGGGGGCTCGCAGATTCCCGGAACGTACTCGGCGCACCTCAGCTGCAGCTCGAGCATCCCCTGGACGCTCGAATGGCGAGGGGCAAGAATCAGGCGGGTACTTCGACACAAATGAGATA